CAAGTCTCACTTGATGGTGTGCCTCTCTTGATAAATTAAAAAATTAATTAAACTAATTATTTTCTTAATTTTGCTGAATTAAGTAATGAGGTTTATAGTTATGAGAAATATGAAATTAGGAAAGATAAATAACATAGGACATATATTTCAACTATAGAAAATATATGAGTATTAATTAATAAAAGAAAATTGTATAAAGTAATTTAAAAAATATATATAATAACATAAAATTATTGTTATTAACTAAATTAAACTTTGAAACTCGTACTTTCTTTAATGGATTGTTAATGCTGGGATATCAGAAGAAAAGTAGGTTTGGAATGAAATGAACCTACAAAGGGCTTTTCTCCAACATAATTATAAAGTCTCACTTGGTGTGTCTCTCTTGATAAACTAAAAAAATTAATTAAATTAATTATTTTTCTTTATTTTGTTAAATTAAGTAATAGAGTTTTATATATAATAACACACAAGTATTATAACTATTGTGATTGTATTATTCGATCGTCATAAATGCAACGTGGACAACGTCTTAGTAATCTTATGTTTTAACATGATACACCCAAATTTACGAATTTGGTGATGTAAACTTTAATATAAAAAATACTACTCAATACACAAAAACTACGTGACAATGAGTTCACCATTGCACCAAAATATATGTAGTAGCAAGAATTATTTTTGTCAATGTTAAAATAATTTAAAAAATATATATATTTTTAAATGAAAACAAATAATATTTTTATTATTTTTTTGAAAATATATAATTGAATTGTACTTTTGTTCTCTTTATAATATTTAATCTGTAAGTTTAGTTCATCTATTACATATTTATTTGTTGATTACTAAATTAGAAACATTTTTTTTTAGAAAATTTTCTCAATCTCACATGTCTCTTTCAAATTAACCTTTTCATTTTTAATTTTATATTGAATTTAAATAGTTTTATTAGGATTATCAATAATTAAAACTATTTTTTTATTACAATATAAATTATTTATTATAAATTTAAAATATAATTTGTATGTACTCAAATATTTATTTATTAATTTAAACTAAGTTATATTTGTATTTTTCATTTTCACTTTATTTTTGTCTCTTTTTGACCAGTTTTAATCAATAGATGAATACATTTAACAAATGATCACATTATCTATTTAATATGTTATTTTGAGGACCATTTTCTGTTGGACTTGCTATATGTTACTCAGGCCTGGTTTTCATTAATAAAAAGGTTTTTCAAAGTTTCCCGATTTAATAAAATTTGATGGTTATTGGCGCACTACACTTGTTACTTATAGTAACATACAAAAAATGTCATTATAGATATACAATATATGTAAGTATATATCTCGTTGACATATAGTTACAATTTTAATGTTGATTTTGAATGAGATTTAACAATATATTTTATGTGTTACTATAGTCTATAACCAAACTTTTTAACAATATACTGACATATATTGTACTTATTATATAAGTAAAAGTAATTTCTAGTGACATATATAGTATCAGTATAGAATATGTATTATTATACGACAATTTTATTATAGTGGCAACTACAATTTTCTTATTCTTTTTGCTCTATCGTCTTCTTACGTTGCCACATATCCTATTGGCTATTTCTGTGCTAGCTAAACAGCGTCCCTAAGAATACTGGATGATGTAATGTAACAATGTAATTCAATTCAACAGTAATAATATTTTAAACAACACATCTGTAGCCAAACTGTAGTATATTGCATTTGCATCTATTGCTATTTGACATCTGGTTAGAACTTTGATCACACAAAAAAAAGTACTTTGACAGCTTTAGAAAGATAGCACTTTACAACACTGGCGAATTAAGAAAATTTAAGTAATAAAAATGATTTTTATATATAAATATGTAGTAATAAACATGTATATATATACACTTTTTTTTAAATATAAGTATACATTAAAATTGTTTTTTATAAATATATTGAATAATTTTATATTTTCAACATTTTTTAAATTATTATTTTTATATAATAATAAGTAACTAAATGATCATTTAGTCATTTATATCTAGCATTAAAATTTTGACATTTTTCTTTTCAAAAAAAGCATAATATAGTCTTGAACACGTAATCACATCTTGATTTACTTTATTTAAATATAACTAATGTTGACCAAATATGTTTTTAGTTTCTCAAATTTAAAGTAAATTTATTTTTGATCTCTTAAATTTAAAATTATTATTTTTAGTCTTTATAATTTTTAAAATCTTATTTTAGTCTCTTAAGCTATTAATAACATAATCAAAGGGACATTGAAATAGTTATACGATATCAATTAAGTTTAATATGATATTTTCATTAACAAGAACACTGATAAATAGATTTTATGTAATGGTATTTAATAGATTCTGTAACAAAATTTAAGTTTAAGGATTAAAATAAAAAATTTTAAAATTATAAAAATAAAAAAATTAATTTTAAATTTGAGAAATCAAAAATAAATTTACCTTAAATTTAAAAGATTAAAAATATGTTTAAATCATATATTATAAAAAAAGTACTTCAAAAATTAATACATTTATTTTGACTTTTTATTTACAATGTAAAAACACAAAAATTAATAAAAACAATTAATTTTTAATATCGTAAGTGAGATATTTTATTATTATATACATATATATGAAAATATATATATAAAATTTAGTGAGGAGATTTGGCCCACAATGACAAATGTAGATCGTCTATGCTTTACAGGCACATGCAGAAATTGACGGCACACAAAATTTGGTAAACAAGCAGAAAATTTGGCAGCTAGCTTGACTTTAGACTGTATATCAGAAAATTTCCTTTCTACTCAATTATATATAGTCAATCTAGCAAAAAGTAGTAATTAAAAAGGAACTTATTATTAATTAAACATTTATGCATATATTAATTGAGTTGATAATAAAAGAAACAACCTTTTAGAAATAATTTAAATCTCATTTATTATATATTAATCACATGTAGTCAAAGAGTCAAATATTTGAATAAGAAAAGACTAAAGAACGAGAGAAATAAAAAAGAATATTTTTAAAATTTAAAATTTAGATAAATTTATTATTACTTATTAAAATTAAAAATCAATCCTTTAATTTTTATAACTAAAAAATTATTTTAATCTCTCAATACCACCAATAACATCACTTACATAAATAAATTTAATATAATATTTTTATTAATAAAATATTAATATATAAATTTTATGTGACGAATTCAGATTAAATATTAGTTTATAATAACTTAATCTTTCTTAGAATCACGGTATAAAACCGTCACATATACACAACATTCAAATCAACAAACAATAAAATCAAAGTTACTATCTTTCCTAAATATTTCATTTGTCAATTCGACTGTAATTAAATATAAGTAAATTTAACTAATTTAATAATATTATTTTTAAAATATTTTTATTAAAATTTAATTTTCATTGACTCGTTTTTATTTTTATATTAAGTTCAAATTAATGATAATTTAGAAGAAAAAATATTTTTAAATGAAATTAGTAATTAAATAATGCTAACTAATTAGTAAGTTATAATGTTCATGTTTTGTTAATGAATAAATGTAGTTGGAAAAAAAGTTATGTTAAACGTGATCAATTAAGATTTTTTTTTTAGATTAGTCACTACAAAGCGAAGATAATTCATAATATTATGATAAACAAATAAAAAAGAGTCTAATATTCATTTAATTTATAATGTTCCCTAATTTCTGCCTTTTTAATCTTTTAATAATTTTAATTGTAATTTAATATATACATGTAGTTATTTAGTCTACCACAGTTACTTTTTATATAAGTTGATATTCACTCATTGATATATATATATAT